AGAGAGAGAGAGAGAGAGAGAGAGAGAGAGAGAGAGAGAGAGAGAGAAGAAAATCTTTTTTTCCAAGGTTTCTTCCAAGATAACCTTCATGGGTTAACCTGCCCGCTCAGTGGTCTTTATTATATTATCATTGTTTACAGTGGGGTCCTGGGTCCACTTTAGCCAAGTCATGACTCATTGGTGCATTTAATTTAGTCATGTTGCTCATACACAAAGTTGTTATTACTTTAGTGGGTTTGTAGGTAATAGGCAAAGATTGGCCACGTGTGCTTTTCACCAGAGCTTACCAGTCTGAGCTTGGCTTGAGACTGGACTGCAGTACCTGGCACTCCATTAGTTTTCTGGATAAGGAGTTCCTCACTCGCTTTACTAGCATAAAAAGCTGTACCCCGTGTGTGTTCTCTGCAGTGACGTCTTCCAGGGCTGGGAACTACATTGATTTGTCCTGAATGTCAAGGAGGACAAGAGGCCACTCAAGGAACAGGTGATGATTTTGATGAATGGAAAGAACAGTGCAGTCTTGCTTTTCACCATAGTCAACTTCCTCCCATGAACGAGGGGATGAGGGTTTCCCCTTAGTGGACTAAATGCAAGCACCACAAAGAAAAAGGCAAGACTTTGGGGTGTGTGTGTGTGTGTGTGTGTGTGCATGTACGTGTGTGCATGTACATCTGTGTGTGTCTGTGTCTGTCTGTGTGTCTGTGTGTTTGTGTCCCTGTTTGTATGTGTCTCTGTGTGTGTCTGTTTGTGTGTGTATGTCTGTGTCTCTGTGTGTGTCTGTTTGTTTGTGTGTGTATGTCTGTGTCTCTGTGTGTGTTTGTGTGTATATGTCTGTGTGTTTCTGTGTGTGTATGTCTTTGTATGTGTGCCTCTGTGTGTGTTTCTTTGTGTGCCTGTGTGTGTGTGTTTGTGTGTGTATGACTGTGTGTGACTACAAATTAACCAGTTAACCCAAGAATGGGTCCATTTTTTTACCCTTTTTGAGAAAAATATCAAATTCAGGGGTGATTATTCAGGGGTGGGAAATTCAGGTTACATCCCTAATTCTCATCTCTCTTGCTCCCCCTCCCTTTCGGTTTTGTAAACTATGGAGTCAGGTTCTTCGGCAGTTCATTCTCCAAAGCATCTTTCCTTGATTAGAGCTGTGATTGGATGAAGGTGATTACCTGCCTCTCACTGGAGGTGGCAGAAGTTGCACTTGGCCTTTTGCAAACATCATCACGAGCCCTCGTCTCAGCCCTACAATTATCACTGACATTTTACATATCAGAAACCAGAAATTCAGACTACAAGGGATTTATCCAGGGTCCTCAGTAGAGTGGGGATTAGAACTCTATTTTTTCCCCTGATACCTGAAGGCATCCTACAAATCCCTTCTTCAGTTTCCATCAACACCCTCACCAAGCTCACAGCTCCTCCAAATGCCACAGGCTTCCAGAGCACTCCTAAGACAAACGGGACTCTATTGTCTTGTGTTTTTAGCACTGTGGCCATTTCCATTCTTTGGCAGGGACTTTCATGAGCAGCATGTGAAATTACTGTCTAGTGCAGCAGCTGTCCCCATCCCCCATCATTCCTTCGGTCTGGAGGCGCTTCACATGTAGCTCAGTAAATAAACATTAGGAAGAAAAACACACATCAAGCAGATAAATGAACAGACCAATACTGTGGCCAAGGGGAGGCTCTCCTCAGTCTCCTTTGTTGTTCTAACGGGCAAGGTGCCAGCGGGTTTTGTAAGCACCTGAGAACAGCAATGACAAGTAGTGCCTGAGTCACAGAGGTGCAGGTGGCTTTGACATTCCCCAACACTGTGGTAGAGAGAACCCACACGCACTGCTCTCGATGGAGAAGAGCAAGAAGGATGACCATCAGGCTGTGCTCAATGAAGGAGAGGAGAATGAGCTGGTGAGTGTCCCCTCGTTTCCTGTTTTTTCAAAGTGGGCAAGGGTTGTTTGCAGGTACAGGAGAGGAGAGACTGTGGCAGCAGCAGGGTTGCTTCTGGACCTGGAACAGTTTGGTTCTGGTGACACTGGCGGCAATGGTGGCTGTGTGTGTGTGTGTGTGTGTGTGTGCACGCACTCACAGAGACAAAGCAAGTTATTGCTCTGGATGGCTGAGTGGGCCCTTGAGAAGCAGACCACGCATCCTTTCCTGGACACTTTACAACATCATGGGAGTATGTTCCCCGATGATGTTCACTGAGCTTTCTCCCCCTCACCACTTGGGCCACCGTGGCATTGGACAAACTGGTGAAAATAGAAGCTGTCTTGTCTTCTTCTTCTCCTGCTTGTTTGTGTGCACAGCACAGTGCTCTGGGATGAAGTCATCTACTACTGAGATCAAGGGAGGCTTGAGGCACCGAGTGCTGAAGAAATCGCACTTAGTCTGAGACTTTAGCACATTAAATTTTTCTCCTTCTTTTCTGCTCCCTTTTTTCCCTATTTCTCCTTCGTCTAAACTTATATAAATTTTAAAGAAATAGCTACCAAAAATCTGAAAGCTCTTAAGTGTTCATTTGATGCTGAGCGGTTTATATTTGTGATTTCCCTTAATCCTTACAACCCAGTACTGAAGGAACTAATCCTATTTCATAGGAAAGACATCTGAGACCGAAGAGGTTAGGTAACTCATCCAAGGTCATTAGACAGGATGGAAATCTAGCTCCTTCCTTGACTCTTTATACTCCGGCTTGTCCTCACTCAAGCAGTGACTCTGACATGAGGAGAGATGAGAGTTAGAGATGAGAAAAGGAGAGACAGCAGGGAAAGGAACACCAGAGTGAACAGAGGCTGAAATGGTTATCTATCAGGCAGCATGAGTCCCCCAGCATCTCCTCACTCCTTGGGAAAGTTTTACCTGTAGCCCTGATACTCTCAGTTAGTAATCTGATGCCAATAAGTGACTACAGCTACAACTACTCTGCGCACTAAGATGGCTGCTTCATGTGTTTCTGAGAGCTAGGAAAGTACCTGATCCAAACTGAAAGGCCCTCTATGTGTGAGATACATGGTAAACTTAGAATTTAGCTACAATATCCTGTTAATACTTTCTGTATTGGTTATGGATTGAAGGGATATTTTAGGTAGGTTGAATTGGATAGGATCTATTATACAAATTAATCCTAGGGTAGATTAAGTTGGATGGAATCTATTATAAAATTAATTCTATAAGCTCCTTTTTAATTCTTGTTTGGGCTTCTGGGAAATTAAAAACTGCAAATGTAGCCCACATCCAAGCTTCGTTGTACCTCACTGGAGTTCCTGATGTCATAGTGCTTTAGAATCTATTCCGCCCTGTTCACTGCTTCATCATCTGATTTTTTAAATTGAATATCTATTTATTTATTTTTGCATGGAGATGGGAAGTCCTGAAAGCACCACATTGCTCTTATTCTTGTTTCTTAACTATGTGTTGCATTTGGTATTTTAGTTTTCCCATTTACCGGAGCAATCAGAGGCCTGAGTAATGGGCCTGGTGCTAGGGGTTTTCTTCATTTTCATGATTGATCAAATATTTGTAGAGTGGTCACTGGAAATCTCTGATTGGAATACTATTGTGAATAATAGTGTTCTGATAACCTTATGTTATTAGGGCATCCTGGGAGGGAGGTTGGCAGTGGAGTCTCTTTCCCACATCTTACTCTGAGACAGATGGCACAGAGGCAAACCTTACTCCAGCCCATGGGGTAACTGGGTAAAGAAATTATGAATTTGTGACTCAGCCCCAGGTAACTGCTGTCATGCCGTCAACTGCTCAGTGTTCTCAGACCTTTGGAATTCAGAGGAAAGCCAAAAAAGTTAGAGCTTTTAGCCAAATAGTTGAATAGCCTGATTATACACTGTGGAGATGAATTTTCTGAAACCAAAACAAAAACAAGAAACAAAAATAACAAACAAACAAACAAACAAACCCACCCCACCCCAAACCAAAAACCAAAAATCAACCATTAGATCATAGGAAACTTGGGTCTGGCTTAGTGTTCACATCAGGGTTACAAGAAGACAGTGGCACCCACAGTGTCTCTCTCCCTACTCGCTCTTCCTTTTCTGAAGGTTCACCAGGGTCTAGTGTGACGTCTTCTTACATTCATCACTGTAAGTAAGCAATCTGTGGTGATGGTGTGAGAGAATTTGAGGTAAAAGTAGACACTGTTAGGTCAAACAATAAATTCCTTTTATCATACGGCCAGGAAGACTCTTAAGCAGATGGAGAAGGCCCGTGAATTATTCAAGGACACTCTGGGGTTGTTCTGCTGAGCTCAGCATAGGTAGAAAATATTGTATAAGCTTAGAGAGCTTGGCTCTGTCCTCATTCTTAACTCCAGCTCTCAGGCCAGAATCCAAGACACAGCAGCCGAATGCTCAATGTCTTCCAGTCCCAGTTCTGGTTAATTTGGATGCTCATGTTACCTGCACAGTGACTGAGAAGACAGACCCTGACTTTACAGGCTGTCATTGGCTTCCAAACCTAGTCCCACCACTTCTGGCCTTCCTCACTACAGTGCCCCCTCCCCTGCTCTAATTGTGTCTTTCCCTTTCCTTTTTCTTCTTTCTAAATCTGTGCCTTGCCCAGGTGCTTCTCCCAGCCCCACCATTCACAGACAACTTTTTCTTCTCTCTTGTCAGTTTTGTTGAAGCACCCACAGCTTTGTTGACAGTCCTAAAAATCCTTCATAGCACAGACACACAGACTGGGTATCACAATGCCCAGGGAGACGAGTTTTGCCTTGGACTGATTTGGGTTTAAATTCTGGTCGTTACATGTATTATCTAACGGGAGTGGCTTGTCACTACCACTTTAGATTGAGAGATACCAGGTGGAAAAGGAGGGCAGGTGACAGTGCCTGAGAGTCTCTATACAGTTCTGTCTGAACCTCTATGAAGGCATCATTGTGTTTCTGTTCCTACACATAGTGATCCATGAATCCTTCATGTGTGTACATGTGCGTGTACATGTATATGTACATGTGTGTGAATGTGTGCACAGATTGTCTCCTGAGCTTTCTTCTATTGAGTCTCAATAAGAAAAGTGAAGACAGTCTCAATGAAAGACATACATTGTTTCATATTTTCACGTATAAGATTATTAATTTATTAAAGCTCTGTATACAAAGGAGGACATATTTGTAAGTGTATCTGAAGAACTAAGTGTTACTAAAATCCATGCTGGTAAATCTTGCAAAAAAATACCCCAACTAGGATAAAGCTGCCCATCTCTGATTTCTTTTTCATGTGGTTGTTGAAGCTGAGCTATGAATTTAAAATGATTAGACTTTTCTTTTTAAAAGTGACATATTAAGCCTATATATAGCAAAATATATGACGGGAAAAGAATGCACAAAAAAACATTAACACAACACTTTTTACAGACACTCATAATCCCAAAATAGTATAAGCCTTCACAAACCATTGCTAAACCAACTCCTACATCCACCCCCACAACTCCATCCTTGGCTGTTGTCAGTGAGAGTAACATACAGCACACTAGCGGGCCCAGTCTTCTCAAAACAGGACTGAGTGGAAACCACAGTTAATCTTGGGTTGATGTTGCACATGGACAAGACAAACAGGAAAGAGGTTTCATTTATTATCTTATCCCAATCAACAGAAAAGGCCCATTGCTGAGACACACATCCTTCAGAGAAGCCTTTATGTTTTTCTGCTGATTTGAAAGAAGTTTCTAGTTTTAGAAAGTGGGTTCTTCAAGTTTTTTTTTTAATCCTGGGGGACATGCCATTCAATTCTGTCATGTTCTGAAATTTGAAATGTGTAATGTGTAATTCCAGTCACAAACTCCCTCATGTGAGTCTCCGGACTACGGATTTCAGTGACTTTTCAGGACTGGGTGTTTGGATGAAGGAGCTGCTGACTGCCTCTGTTTCTCATGTCACAGCTGGACACACTGACATCATTGAGAAGATCACCCCTAGGTGCACCTCTGAGGTTCTTCCTTATCCTCCCTCCCAAGTGATGTAGGCTCCATGACCAGGCCAGAGAGTTATATGGTTTAGCTGTCCCTGCAGAAGTGTCTGGCACTTCAGGCTCAGCTAGAACTGGCTTTCTAGATTCCTTTCTCCCTGAGAAAAGAAGGTCAAGCTCGTTTGGCTTTTGGGAGGAGGCAATAGAATTCCTAAGTAAAGGTGTATCTGCAGCAACATCAGAGTCCAGGGGAAGCTCTGGGCCTGCTCTTCTAGTTCCACAGAAGCAGTGTATCCTCATTCAGCACTCAGCGACCATGGCTGTGGCTATTTGTCATGTCTATAATGACTCACTGGGAGTCAGTGTTGGCTGTCATTAAGGAATGAAGAGGGCTGGATGTGTTCCTCGTGCCAGCAGAGGTGGACCAGGAGGCAATGGCAGTTGAAGTGGAAAGATTTGTAGATGCTATTTCGTCATTGTTACCCTTCTGAGAAGAAAATTCACTTCATCTCTTGTGGTCCAGGCAGCTCTGGACGCGTTAGCCTCTGCTTCAGGGTCCTCTGTTTACAAGAATTCTCCATGCTTTCTGAGCATGGTCTTCACTTAAGCCTCAGAAGGGTCACCAGTACCACTTTTACTGACCTGAGTCACAAATGGTTCCCTGGTGCTTTCCTTCCACTGCTGGCACTGAGCGCTTGGATATCGAGACCCAAAATGGGACCAACTCAAAAGGAAAATGGCTGTTTGGTGTGGAAGACATAGAATGGTAAGGAAGGTATTTCACTTGGTGGAAATGATTGTCCCATAACTAGAAACTTCTTTAAGTCAGGGGATCCGGGCTTCAGTCAAGGAGTTGTAGTTAACCAAATGGTGTAGAAATCTCTCTAGATCTTGCTGGTTGCTTGAAGTCCTTTTAACTCATAAGTCTTGTGAGGGTCATGTCTAAAATATGGAAAATGCTATGGCCAGAAAGTGGCTCATTTACAT